CTTCCTGGACTTCAAATAACGCTCATAGAACTATAGAGAATGGCACGTAACCTGTATAGAATGTAAACGCCTGAGGGTGGGGAAAGACCAAAAATAAATGTAAAAATTTACAGAATTGAGGTAACGAATACAAGATGCATGTGATCTGCCAGGCTGATGCGAGTCATTCGGTCTGATAGAGTTGTATGAATTTCACCCGAGGACCTCATGGTGATCCCCAAACGGCAATAAATAGCTCCTTGATCATTACTGCACACAATCGATTTGTAGCAACAGCGCGAGAGGAAACGAAAACCCCTATCAGCTGAGGTGAAACCCAAGAGCCAATAAACACAGTTGTCACAGACCAAAACGCATGAAATCGCATGGGCCGGCTCCACGCTAGTAGTAACTTGATTTTTGCTCCACTAGGTGTCGTCACAAGAACATGATAGAAAGACAATACGTGGGTGTATGTTTCACTAGGATGAAGTTTTGGTATGATCAATATCGATGAATTTAGAAAAATGAAATAGTTTATTTATGGCATGATGCGTGATATTAATAGATCGTATATACGACATAGTAGTAATGGTAGTAATGGAAATGCTCAAGTATTAAGAATTTAGACCATATTAGTACACCAACTCGCAGTTAAGCCTGATTAAAAGCCAAACACCTAAATCACCCTCCCATCGGCTAACTGTGAGGAGGAACTAGCAGCTTTTTCCCTCTAGCTTTCGTGATCCATCATAAACAAGAAATTGATGAGTTTAGTCTTTCTAGGTGTTTCATGCTGAAAGCTGAAAACGACGTTTTGCAACTGAGGTTATCTTTCGAACAACACCCCCTCCCCCCAAAAGAAAACATTTTTATGGTTTGATATGGGTCATGCCGAAAATTGTTCAGCTATCGACGAACTCTGTCAAGCCAGTTTCAACTGGAACCCATCCATTTGGCGGTTTTCATTTTTATTTGTATCAATCTATACCTTTGAGTGGAGAAATACCTGCATTTAAGCAAAAACCATAAAGAACATATAATCGACAAGAAGGAAATAATAGAATGCTGCAAAGGGTTTCATAAATTTTCCTGAGAACATTGGCAACACTAAAGGGGGAACAGTTAGGAAGTATAAAGAAAACATAGTATTAAACAAAATGTGATCAGAACTGGTTTTACCCTGAGCACTCTGATTCATCGTGTTGATAAAATAGTCCTTAACGTTTCTCCACGCCATTGTGTATAGATTTCTACCGTAAGTTGGTGCCCTTGGTTACTCCTAAACATATAGCAGAGTTTGGCCAACTTAGGTGTCCTGTGCTCATAAGGGAGCAGTTTCAGGGATTAGATGAATGGAAGAGTGTAAATATGTATTCAAATATTTTGGAGTAGGAAGCTTGATTGAGCCATTCGCAAAAGGTGATGACCGTCGACCGTGTAACTCAGGGGTAAGGGTTTGAAGTCCCAGCCCGAATGTTCACTGTTCGAGTCCTCACGGGGACACAAAAAGTACTCACTGCTGACGAGTCCCAAACAGGACTAAACAGCTGTCCATTGCTCTTTGTCGGTTATCGCAAACATTTCCATCGCATGTAAATGTATTCAAATACAATGGGATCTTTGGCTTGCTTTAATTGTCTGAACAGTCCCAAAGAGCACATTTCAAATAGAATAAGGCGTGGCGAACAAGCTCGTTTTCAGTGATTTGTATTCATGCCAAATACATCTCAATAAATATTACGCTGTTTATATATAAATCAGGTATTCAACCATAAAAACGCAAACAAATGTTTCGGGAAAGGGAAAATAACCTCGTGGGTTGTCCGGGGCTAAGTTCATCTTGGGACCGGATATGGAATTCTCAATGATCACATAATTGTTAAGTCATTCGATCGTTGGAATCACTCGGAATATGGGGTGTATAGGGGGTGGGCCGGGAAGCTTAAGCGCCTGCACAAATTGTTTTTGGGCACACATTTGTATGCATTTTTTATGGTTGAATGCTGATTTATATATAAACAGCGTAATAATTATTGTGATGTATTTGGTATGACTACGAATCACTGAAAACGAGCATGTTCGCCACTCCTTGTTCTATTTGAAATTTATTCAAATACCTTTGATTAATTTAGGGTTGATTCAGATGAAACCGTAAAATCCTTTATCTCGAACAGATCGTGGTCGAAACTTTGAAAGTTCTCAGACCAACAGGTAGCTTGGCGAAGGGTTACATTGTAATTATACATAAATGAATGGACTCAAGTTGTGGTATATGATCACTGGTTTAGGATTAAAATAGAAGCGATGAGAGAACTGCTTTCTGGAACTCTACGGAATTATTTACGCCTAGTTTGGATGATTTGGCGTTGAACTCTGTTTGTGAACCAGTTGACCAGTCACGCTGGTAGATGCCTGGGACATTTAAACTATTCCCGATTACGAAGGATGCCGGGAATTGGAACCAACTATGAAAAGGATTACACATCTAAGACAACAGGCACATTCTACTTCTTTCGCAGATGCTTCTAGGGACTTCATTGTCCGATGAACTAGGGGTGGCAACCGCATCCAAAATGGACTTGATTTGTAATACTCAAATTAACGAGGGTTAGAGGCAGAAATCAGACATCTAAGATTGGCACTTTTCGTTAACTCAAAACTACATGACTTTTGAGCGATGGGTCGAAAACATTTGGTTAGAATACTGGATTAACGAGGTTTAGTAATTGAAATGGTAGTGATTGGTCACCAGAAATGAGGAATAGAACTAGTCAACAGGGATTTATAAAGAATATAGGTAACCATATCGATCAGAGCAAAAGATCATTTGACTAGTAGTGATGATAATAAACCGTTAGGACCAATATCTGTGGATATTTTGGTCTTATGAACGACTTTGATCACTTCTTTCCTAAAAAATGGGACCATGTGAGCAGCATCATTCCGAATTCGTGAAACTGGAGGATCATTGTCTGAGAGTTTACATCACAGTTCACCAGTTTGTTGTCATACCACCTAAATATCGAATTCTTCATCATATATTTTTGCTAGTTGGTTACCTGAAGTAAGACGAGGATAAGACGAATGTGTGCAGTTTCCTTTTTCATAAATTCTGAAATTTATCAAACAATTGGTTAATTCCAGGCTTTGCATAAGTGTTCTTTGAGTCTCTATAGTGCACTAGATGCAATAGGTCCATTGACAGAAAATGGGTTCCCAAGTACAGTGCATGTTAAACAATTGACTTAACTGTATTAACAAAAAGTTGATAAATGTTGCTTATTGGAAGGTCAAATGGGAACCACGAAACTGATTGAGTGAAGAAGGCTTTCCCACAAACTGTTGCGGATACTGATTGTGTTTTTACTTGAAATATTAAAAGGTAAAATGGGAGACAGCCTTAGGCCTCAAGATAAATAGACGATGATGACTGTTTGAAACAGGAATGTGCAAAATTAAGGAAAAAGAGTTAAAGTCAACTTTATAATCGCTGCCTAAAGCAGAATTATCTCTGATGGGAGAAACACCTGCATCAGTTAGATTGCAAGAAGTGGTATCTAGGGTTGTTGAATAACCAAAATCAATTAAATAAAGTGAAAATCATTCTCGAACAGTAGAACGCAGAAGGATTTTAATCAACCGATGAAACCGAAACAGTGATTTTTGTGCAAACCCTTGCGATATATAAATTTGCTCTACAGTTTTCCTGTCTATAGAATTAGGCTAACTCACAGCAGGTTAATAATTAATACCGTTAATTGAGTAAGATTAAATGTTTACTGACTTACCACACCAGAAAATATTGTTTTAGTCAACTACACCATTTTCTATTTGCCTTCTGCTGGAAACTTTGGGCTGCGTAAAAAGTGATCTATAAGCTCTTTCAAAACACCGTTCTCCCGTCACAAATTTGAATACAGAAGTCAGAAGTATGGCTTTGCATATACATATATATATATATATATCACTTTGACTGCAGTATGCACATGTACAGATGGAGCAAAATGACCATGGATACATTGTGTAAACCCGTGTTTCGGACTTTTATATTCATATAGGCCTTTTGTAGTTGTATGTGGTCATGCGGTCCTTTTCAAATCAATCTCTAGAGGGTCAAACAAGTTTGAAGAATGACTCGATTCCAGTTGCATTATTCAAAGCAACTCATCACCCCTGTGCGAATGAATTGGTGGCTCTAGAACAATCCAGCGGGATGTCTAAGGCAGTATGGACACAATACAGGTATATTCATTGTTGCGGTTTGGTTTGAGATTCAAAATTTTCAACATTTATGGATACATTGAAAACCAATACTCAGCTTATCGAATGATGTACAGATGGTGATTTCTCAGGCCTCAATATAATGAGCCTTACGGATAAGCATACGGCTTTCTGACACATTTTCCGTGTCAATAATGATCCGCAGTTAACAGGAAGTAAATTTGTACAGATGCGTGCATTTCAATGTGAAGATGTCTTAACGGAAATAATACTACACCTGATGTTTTGTCGAACATAGTTAACGTTGTGATGTATTTTGCGCTTTCCTATATTTGCTTTCACAATTTTTAACTCTTCATTGTTCCAGGGCCCTGCCCTCCGAGAAGGAATAATCTCAACAAATGGGGAGATATTTCCGATATAAGTAATGATTTTTTCATTCACAATGCAATAAACAGCTGTTTAGTGGCGTAGTGAGTGAGTACATGTACAGGAAAATTATGAACACAGTATAAATACGGGCGGTTTTGTTCCATATCCACTCTGAGACGTCTGTATTAGCCTTGCCTTGATTCAGTCAAACAAAGCTGTGAAGGGATTCAGCGCACCAGTATTTTTCAAAGTTACGAACAAGGCTCCAAAAACGTCAAAAATAGAATAAAATGAAATTCAAATAGTCGAAAGGATCTGCCGTGTGTACCTGTTTGGCATTTAATGGTTTTCAATTGTGGCGGTACTCACATTTGACAGAGCGAAATTAAAATCAGAAGCTTGGTGTAGGATGAAAAACATCTGCTTTATTCACAATACCAGTTCGTGTACTGTTGTTGATTACCTGTGTACGATCGTGAGGAGCGTGTATTTATCGAGTAGTTTGGTCCGAGCGATGTCAAATCTCGAGAGCTTTCGTATCGAGTTATATACATGTACATTGGACCGCTATCGGAGACATTCGTCCCTTGTACCGGATTATAACTGATATAGGTTACCTCATCTCCCCAATTCAAGTTGGTGGCTGACCGGGCTTTTCGAACTGACGGATTCATGCTCGGATCTCGTTCGATTATAATGCGAGTATCGTTTTTGTCCTGATTGACCGGGGAGTAGCGATTGGGTAGAGCTTGTACAGTAAGATACTTATTAGGACTGAGTTCGTACGGATCGTAGCCACGAGGGTTGGATAAGTTTACTTCTGTTCGTGTCAATGATCGTCCACTTGAGGACATGCCATTCATGACAGGCGGATACTTCAAACGAGTTGTATAATCAAAAGAGTCAACATCTGAATCCACTCGGTCTATCGTATTGTGACGTGTCGATTTTGGTTCCACTAATTCATAGCAACTGTATACACCTTTGATTTTTGATTCCATATCAGTAGGATAGATTGAGTTTGTGTTTTTTAAACGCGGTGGTGAAGGTGAGCGTTGCCGAATGTTGGAGCCATCATTGTCGAATGGGATTGGACTGTCCGAACCATGACCATTTTGTAATTCACGATCAATCAGATCACCTCCCGGGATACGGATGTTATAATCCGGGGCAGAGTTCACCACATCACGATTATTTGTCATTTGTTCCATGCTAGATTGCCGTGAATTTTCGTAGTCCATACCTGACGGTTCGGTTCCAAAATTTCCGGATGAAAGAGATAATTGACGCAGGGGTGTGATATCTCGAAGTATGTTTTGCGGATCGGTGGACGCTTTAAATGTCAAATCACAGATAGTGTTCACATCTTCCGGACGACAACGATACATTTCATACAACTTTTTCCCGGTCACTTCATCCACCACACACAACATAAACACATTCGGGTTGGAAGGAAATACGAAGAAATGTTTTATTTCCCGATAGGTCAACTGCTTCCGAAACGGAGTGTGCCCGATTGTGTGCTGTTTCTTAAATCGCATTCGATCTGTGAGGCAGTAGAGAACAGTGCGAGCCTGGCGTTTACGAAATCCTCGTTCGAAAACTTGATTCGCTCCTTCCCGGGAAAAGTTCTCACCGGTTTTTAAATGTACTCGTTTCACGGTTTCCACATCACATTCGTAAAACACTATCTGTCTGGTCTTTTGGTCAATGGGCATCCCAGCCTCATTGGTGTAGCTTTTTTGCTTTCTTCCCCTATATCCGTGCAAAGGCATCACGAAGTTTGTCAGGGATTTAAGTTACACAAAACAGTTGTATGATTTATTCGATTTGAATGGGGAGCCTCGAAATCGTCATGCACACAAGCATCGATTGAAACAAGATACACACCTACTGCTCAGCCGTCTAACATAATCCATTAAGAATTGTGTAATGCATAAAATTTCGGTTGAACGACTTCACAGGGTCAGTTTGATGAACAGGAAAGACCTTTAGAGTTCAACTCTGACAGGTTGATGTCTATTCTTCCTTCCGTCCTTCACAACTCGACCCCTCCTCCGGTTCGCTTGCCGGTGGTGTTGCAGGACGAGTATGTATCCAGTGCACAATTGTATGACACGAGCGCCACTTTGTGTTCATGTGTGTGTGTGTGCGAGAGGGCCCACGCACTTTCCTTGAAGCTAATAACAGTATACGATACACAGTCGATCTTCAGTCACAGCAAACAGCCACCCAGAGCGCAGCACACCAGCCACCCACGCCATACAAAAAGACTTACGCAAAGTGGCACTCAGCTCATAGGCACATACGGAACTGGCGTGAATAGGTGCACCATGGGCGTTGTATCGATCGTTCCGACGAATTCATTCGTGAGTCAAAAATGTTACGCTGTGTACACGTATGCACACATACACACATGCATACCGTAGCACTTGTGTGTGTGCTCGTGTATGTTCATTATGTGATATGGCCCGCCAAAGACTATAGTTACTTTGAGCCATGGTGGACTGCGTTGACCCGTACCAGCCTATCTTGGAATTTTACTCATCTTCAATCCAAGCAATCGGCAAATCAGGGGCAACTGTTTTCGTATTCCCGCTTGATAATGTATTCCAGTATGAAAGTCATCAGACCGATTGTTGCTTTTCCTGTGAATGTTAATAGATACATAGATAGAATGATTCGAGTATGATAAACGGGATATTTAAATCTGGTTACGAATAAATCGATTCCTTGTGTGTGTGTGTGTGCGCGCGTGTGTGTGTTCGTGAACCACACGCCCCTTGCCATTCCGTTAAGGCTGAGATGTACAACAATGAGAAAGCCAGCGATGGGACAGCTCGCATGGTATGTACAACAACCATATTAGCACTGCAAATATTTTTTTCATAATTTGGTGCTATTGAGGTAAGACAACATTGCAAACAGCCGGACCTCTTAAATTTTTTTACTGCTCTGATGGAGTGATTATGGTGGTTATGGTTCGGAGCATCAGGACCTCAGTGCATTTGAGGTGGTGTACTGTGTGAGGGTTGAAGAATAGTGTTTTGTAATTTTTTGTTTCGAATAACGGTTCACACCAGCTGAGTTTGACCAATGTGTCAGGCACACGGCATCACACAACTGAGATCACTGCCATTTCACCACGAATAAGCGACAGCGACGGTAAGATAAACCGAAAAGATCATTTCTCGAGTTAGGCTACAATTATTAGGAATAAGTACGCACAACCGAAAAGGGTGAACGAGTAACAGTAAATATCATCACAGAAAATATCGCATCTAAGCGAGGAAGCTCAAATCTATTGCAATCCTGCCTGATGAGCTGTAATAACATTTTCCCTTCTTCATGGTAACAATTATTGAATAAATACTGATAACCAAGAACATACTTGCCTCCCGTAGTATTACCGCAAGGGAAGGTGGACACAAAAAATCTAGCTAACAACCCCTATCTATCAGGTGCTTTCGTTAGGCAGAGCCACCCGCCCACAAAAACGGCCTTGAATACACGGAAGTTGTAGAATATTCTCCTTTCGGAGTGCATAAATTATACACTTGTTTAGACTTGACTCGATTACACAGCTATTTCATCCTTGTTGAGAACCAACCGCAATACCTATTCCATCGAACACGCTGGCGTTTGTGTAACATGATCAGTTTGAAACGATCGGCGTAGCACCCCTCCCCCCCTACTCCAAAGAAAGCGGACCGATGTCAGGAACAAAGGGATTTGTGTAAAAATGAACTTCTTTTTATGGATGGAACCAGATGCTATTTGATCGAGCAAATCCTTAGCAGAAAAAATATCCGTTGACACCGATCGATTACACTGGCGCCTTTAGTAACGAGGAGTTTTACATCACGTCGGATGTGATAAAAACAATGTAAGCGCACCGAATCCTCGTGCTGATAAGTGAAGGAGAGGATGTAGCAAAACAATGGTCTAAATGTTCGGTAAATCTTCGGGTGGATTACCGAAAGTGAAGCAACTGAACTACATGGATGATCAATGAAAAGTGAAAATAAGAACGAAAACATGCAGTTCGGCTGATAAGTTCAGAAAATGTGTTTGTCCCGCGCTTGCAGGCGCACATATCTGTCATTCGTTCTATTTTCTATATCTTATTTCAGGGAATATTTGATGGCAATCCAACTCACCGGACGGTTTGTTTTTCTGTGCATCTGAAAACACTTGCTATATGCCTCACCAGGTTTACCGTCATAAAATTTCAAACCAAACTCCATTTATCTTAAACATCTCTCATTTTATTGAATCCAAGAAACAGAATAAGTAGATCATTTCTGTTTGTGTATGCGTGTGTGTAAGGATAATATTGTAAGGGGTGTATGGGAATTCAAGTCATGCTGCAAATGTCGTATGCATTATCGAATGAATCAAATGCATATGGGCTTTAACACTCATTTTGTAACAGGCCTCATGTCATTCTATCGTTCATGGTTGTCCACGGTAAGGCTAGAGCTTTGACAAACTGTTTTCGAACGCAAAAGGAGGCTTTGTTCACGCGAATCTCGATCGCTTCAGCTGTTGACAGTAAGCGATGCTTGACCTGCTCTGATCTCACTCCGGTGATCGTGCATATGGGTCTGACCGCATCACTTAATCTGACATACGTCGTTTTGACCAAGTAAATCGTGATTGCCGTCCCCCGGTTCTCTTCCATCCGCGACTTAGCCAGCTGAGTTTGTAGTCTTCATTGCATTTGCGATGATGGTGGCGCAGTGGTTTGGTCGCCGTCGCCGGCGTGCTTTGGACCCTATGTTCCTTGGTTCAAACCCCGACACCGCCACTCAACTTTGGTGGTAGACAGCTTTGCCTTCGTCCAGTTCAACACCACGCTTAGACTGTCGGGGACTTATGTGGTCCCAGGGTTTACTTTACCGGTTACCATCACTGGACATCAGCTCTTCGTGACTATGGTTTCGCCCCATCTGCTGTTCATTGCAAACTGATGTGTAAAAATGCGTCGGTTGGAACCACAGGAACACCAATTGGTAGGTGGAGAACAACGTCATGTTCACCGGTAGCTTGTATTTTATTTCCAATGAGAAAACTGGTTAAGAAGTGTAACTTATGCGCATATCAGCTGCATGTGTTCTTGAATCAATTCCGGGGAGCCCTACTCATCACTGCAAATAATATGTTGCATTTAAAGGGATGTGTAAATAAGTTGGTTTCCTTTTTGTAGTCGAATGTGGCTGCACCTATGTGGTGACCTTCATTTTATCTGGGGACTGATAAAAGAATACTGTATCTGGCTGATAAATGATGCATCAAATACGAGCTTATTTACCAAGTTGACTTCTTCGAACATTGTATCCATCCAGTTGATGCATTCCACGTTGACTTGTGTGAATCTGTTTCTGATTCCTCCCCTTGATCCCGCTACATACTTCTTCATGCGTGAGGTAAGCATTTCTATCTTCCTACCAACCACAAATACACAATCTAAAATTGCAAACGCCTTGTGTTAATGCCTGTCTTAGTTGTAACACGTATTACTTTTTAACGCATTTTGGTTGTTGTTTTCATGCCATGTTGGTACTATGATGCACACCTTCTGGTAGAAAAGTTGTTACCTAACGTATTCACTGTGCATACCATCATTATTTTTATCGTGTTCTCGTGGTTCACTTTCATTTGACCTCGAATATATATACACCTGATATTCTACCAATGTACGAACTCTTGAAAGTCTTAACTAATTTAAAACTTTAGAAGTGAACTCCGATTGGTAGTCATATTGTGAATAGAGTAATCGAAGTGAATAAATAATTATCATTCGAAAACTAAAGGGATTGAACTGTATCCTGATTATCGCCACCTCTGTTAATGAAAATATTGGTGAATGAAAATTTACTGGTAGATTTGCCTGCACTGCATAGATCATCTATATAAAACGTGCTTACTGTCGCTTGATATCCCATGCACAAGCATATGAAATAGTTCCGTTCAACCGCTCAACCAGGTTAACTTGTAATCATTGATTTTTTGATACTGTTGTCCGGTAGTGCTCAGCACATATCCTATTGAATCTAAAACTAGTGGGTGATAGTAGATGAAGAAAGGAGATACTAATTGTGCTGAAAGTTGAGAGAGATTTTCCGTTGACTTTCTAAATTATCCGACCACGATATCTCATGAGTTCACAGTTGGATGGGGACCTCTGGATATGCTAGCTAGAAAACTTAAAAGGATGCTTGGAAAACTTTAAATGACAAGTGGAATTCCTGATTTGATACTGAGATAATTAGATTTGAAAAAGGCATACAACGGTTGGATATTTGCCGACCTCTTATTACCAATTGGCTCCAACTTGACCTCACTGCACCACTTTGTGAACAACTCACTTTTATAAATGGCGTTATGACTGATTTTATGAGGCACTTGTAGCTATTCAAGATGGCACCAATAACATTATTTGCGTCGTCGACTGTTAAACAAAGACCGATCGCACTTGTTTCGGCTCTTCGTACAACTTTAGCCTGAGCTGTTTGTTAAATTATTTCACAATTATTTATAAAACCATGTTACACGTTTACTACAAGGATCTTCTAATCAGAGATCCGGTTTCGGTGCAATGCAGTAATCACTGCATTACAATCAAGTGCAGCCTAAATCTATCCTGAAGATTGCTTCAATGTTTTGCTGTCCAGTACCTAAGATAGCAGGTGAAAATACACACTAAGCGCTTCCGAAATTGCACGACTTTAATGATAGCCAACTATACTGCGAAATGACTGCAAAATATAAA